ACTACTTGGTGGTATTTTGCTTTTCGATCTAATGTATATTTAACTGCTCTCATTAGGGGCTATTAACATAGGAAATAAAGTTGCTGGGCTTTGCTGGTGGGTGGGTAGAATGATTATCCTGAAGAATAATCCCCTGAGGGAAGCATTCTTGAACTCCTGGGCTGGGTTAGGTTCCTCCTGTGATCCCACAGCCCCGTGGGTTTACAGATGTTACATTCTTATTCTGTTGAATATATATCTCTCTATACTTGACTATGAGCTTCATATCAGAAGGAACTTTGTCTTGTCTACTTTTGTATCCTCAGCGCTTGCAGTGTGTCTGGAAAATGTAGATTTCCGGAAAAGGTTGACTAGACCTGAATAAAGCATAAACCCACGGCGAGTCCCTTTCTGCCTCAAACACCATTGAGTCTCTAGGGCTCCCTAAAGGAGGGGATGGCTATCATCTAAGTAAACAGATAGCTGAAAGAACCCTGGGGCTGCTTCAAAGGGAGCTAGTGATTTGCTGGAAGGTAGGCTGGAGCAAACGGATAGGGTCTTTGGGAGGCTTCTCATGGAATATCTGGGGTCTTGGGGATTTAAGTCCTTGTCCACAGGGGGAAAAGAGGTGAGGTCACTGGAAAAAGCTAAGAAAATGATGTTCTTCTGGTGCATGACATGCCCCACCCAGCTACATGCATGGACTCACACATACACACATGTGCACACACACATACTCATGTGCCACAGGGCTCTTACCTGTGTAGTTCGGTGGGCAGACACACACGTAGTTATTGATGCCATCTACGCAGGTGGCATTGTTTTCGCAGTCATTGTCCTCACAGTCATCTGGGTTGATCTCACACCGCTGTCCCTCAAAGCCCAAGGGGCAGGAGCAGCTATAGGGTTGTGGGGGTTGGGGAGGAGGGGAGCCAGGTGTCAGGTTGGGTTGAAATGACAGAGAAGAGTGGAGGGTGGGGAACGGGGATGAGATACAGTTAGTCAGGTTTCTCTTCTGGAAGGAGGTGGAGAGCAGCACATTTGGGCAATGAGGCCTTGGGGACCTGGGCAGGAAGATTCTTAGGTTCTTCAGATGCTTAGGAACCTATGAGTCATTTCATCTAGCCTCCTGTCTCGGGGCAATAGGATATCTCCCCAGGCTTTGGCTGGCTTGCCCCCAGGGCCATTTCGACCCAGAAATGCGTGCTTCACCATTCCCCCTGCTGAAAATGGTTTCCGTGATATAATTTAAATTCCTCCTGCTGTCCTCTAAACCTCGCTTCCTTTGGCTCGTCTGTGGTGCAGTTTCTTTTGTAGAGAAAGAAATTATAACAAACATCCCCACTGAGTGACCTTCTCACTCGAAGGCAGCCTCTCTATCTTGAGAGGGGCAGAGCACAGTGGCCAAGCTCACGGGCTCTGGAATGGGATTTCCTGCAAATGAATTCTAGGTCTGTTGCTTCTAAGCTGTTTGACCTTGGAAAAGTTACTGCAATTTTCCGTTCTCAGTTTCTTTATCTGTTGACCAGGGTATTATTATCTATCCCCAGGGTGGTTGTGAGGATTCAATGAGATTACACAAGTAAGACATTTAGAAGGGTACGTGTTGTTATTAGCTGCTATTGAGTTGGCCCTAACACATGGCAACCCCGTGCGTGACCAAGAAACGCTGCCCAGTCTAGCGCCATCCACGTGATCAGTTGTGGATCAGATGGTTGTGATCCATAGGGTTTTCACTGGCTGATGTTCAGAAGTAGATCGCTAGGCCTTTCTTCCTAGTCTGCCTTAATCTGGAAGTGCTGCTAAAACCTGGCCAGCATCATAGTAACAGGCAAGCCTCCACTGACAGATGGGTGACTGCACGTGAGACTTGAACCTAAGTTCAATTCTACCACTGAACCACCAGTGCCCCCGTAAGGGAGCGTAGCACATAGAAAATGCTCAGAAAGTTACCTTTGTTGTTGTTGTTAGATGGATGCTACGAGTCGATTCCGGCACATAGCAACCCCATGTGACACAGCAGAACTGCCCCATAGGTTTTCTAGGCTGTAACATTTATGGGAGCAGATCACGACGTCTTTCTCCCTCAGAGTGGCTGAGTGGGTTCAAATTGGCAACTTATCAGTTAGCAGCCAAGTACTTATCCATTTGTGTTACCAGGGCTCTTTAGTTACCTTTAGTTCTGGACAAAACCACCCTACTTCCTTAGCCTTTCCTCAAGGGTGCCACTTCTCCCTATCGTGCATTCCTACCCCTTCTGAGCTCCCTCCAGCTTCTGGGGGGTGAGGGGATGGGGTGGGAGGACCCCGCTAGTGCCAAGACTGAGGCCTTCTGGTGGGCTTGGCCTAAAGCACCATAAATCAGCACAATGTATTTCCTTAACTTGTCCCTGGAGTGTCAAATCTCTTGGCTAAAAATTCAACCACCTGGCCTCTGCCTGACCTTGGTCACATACCCAAGATTAAGCAGGAAGATAAGTCAGAACAGATAAAGGCTGGCAGATGGGGGAGAGGGGTGAGGGAGCATTTAGGGATGGACAGGAGGCCAGTATCTGATTAAATAAGCACTACACTGAATCTCCTTCTTTCCACGGCCCAGCCTGCTAGTCAGGTAGTCAGGGACTCACACCATCCGTGCGAGTGTGCTCCGCCTCAGACCCGCAACTCCAGGCCTCTGTTTCAGAGACTGCTGTGATTTGGGATATTTTTTTTTTGAATCTCAACTAATATGAAACGGATTTCCGTGTTCTTAGAATTCTAAACGGGGGCAGTGGTGGTTCAGTGGTAGAATTCTCACCTTCCATGTGGAATTCTGGAACTATCACAAACCCCTTCATACGATGAGTCTCCAATCTTGATGCATAGCCTGCTCGCAGAAAGAGCAAAGGCTGGCAGAGCTGGCTGGACAGAAGATGACCAAGGCAGGAGATGGGACTGCCCTAAGTGTTAACTAGTTCTTAAAGTCTGCCTGAGCCCCACCGAGGTTTTCATTGAGGACAGGGGAGACTTCGGCCTCCTTGCCACCCTCTGTCCACTCCACTAGCAGCTCCTATTCCCTGGACCAGCCACCCACAGCCCACTACCAGGCAATCTTCAGACTCTGGGGAGAGCCAAAGTAACTCATCTTCAGGAAGACAAATGAGCAGCTCCATGGTTTACAGTCTTTGAAAACCTATCTCCTGTCTGGCTCTGAGGAAGTAGCCTTTTTCTTGAACACCCAAGGTCCCTGACAAAAAAGGGGATATGAGGCATTTTGCTACCTCAAGAGCTCAGACCCAAGAACCCATGGCCTTTTATAGTATGACTCACACACACAAACCATGCCATCCCCAAGTATTGGGACCTCATTATCTTCACTCTCCACTCCATTTCCATTTCTACACCCATAGATGTGAGACCTTTTCCTTTTAAAATAAACACTCAAAATATTTAAAGCTTATTTGAAACTCCTCAACAACTGCAGATGGATACGGGATCCTTCTGCTCACCCCACCTCCAGCAGAGACAGGAGAAGCGCCATGCCTGCTGAGGGGAGGTCTTCCCTCTTCTGAGCCCCCTCCCTTGATTGCGGTAGCAAGCAGAGCCTAGGTTTAGCTTGGAGGTGTGTTTGCTGACTGGGGCCAGGTCAGCACCTCGGTGATTCCCCTGTGGTTTCTTCTGTCCACCTCTTCCCACCAGTGGGCAGGTGGGAGGTGGGTGGTTTGGCCGGCTTCAGGCAGGAAAATGAACTCTGCCTTGAATTTCACTTTCGAGAGTCAGAGCTTGACGGGACTGGCTTGGAAGGTGGACATGTGGGTGGGCTGAGTTCCCTGGGGAGGAGAACTGAGAGTTCAGAAGCTGATTTCTTTCACAGACCACACAACAGCCACGCTGAGGGGCCTCCGGTCAGAGGGCCTTTGGTAATGAATTGTTTGCAAAGTGAGCTCTACAATGCCTGCACAGAGCTTGGCATCCCATGACCCCTCCTTTACTACTGAGGGGCTGCCACCCAACCTATTGTCACATGGGAGATACAAAGGAGACAATTTCCCACTGTCTGCTTTTGGCAGGGCCACAGACTGCCAAAAGTGGGGATTTGAAAGCATCTTGGGAGGGTGGGAGGCAAGAAGGGGGCCTGAGGTTTGGGTGGAGGCCTGATCTCACTCCTAGGATAGGGATGAGAAAAACTTAAGTGGCTTCTATCTCCTTTTATTACTAAGATCTAAATGCCAGGGAAAAAAAAGGACTGGACAAGAGGTTGAAAGACCCAGGAACGAGTAAGTGTCAGCTTCACTGCTCCATGGATATGTGGTCTAGAGCAAATCAATCTCTGTGTCTCAGTTTTCTCATCTGTTAAATGGGGATAGTACCTACCAAGCTACCAGATAGGGTTGCTGAGAGGACTTAAATGAGATAATGCATGACTAGTTAGTACCTGGCACGTAGTGAGCACATAATCAATGTCGCCTATTATTATTCTTTATAACCCAGAAAAGAATGGTCAAATTGCCAGGCTTGGCAGGTCTTTGAGCCATCATCCCATCCTTCTCTACCTTTAGTCAACAACTAGAACCTCCCTTGGAGTCTCCCTGGCTCTGGAGACACATTACCTGGATTCAAGTCCCTGTACCAATGCTTTCTAACAGTGTGACCGTGGACATAGCATTTATCCCCTTGATGCCTCAATTTCTTATCTGCAGAACAAGGGATACTGGTACCTCCCTGGTAGTGTGTGAAACCATTCACAGAAAGGGCACATAGTAGGCCCTCAGTGAACGTGGCTACGCTTCTTCATAGCCTGCCCTGAGAAATCTGTGGATGAAGCCCTCAAAGATAATGAAAGGCCCAAGGATGAGCTGTTACCTGAAGCCATCCTTATGGATCTCACTCAGGTGGCAGGTGCCTCCGTGATGGCAGGGGTTCTGAATGCAGGTGTTGATGGGCATGCTGCAGTCTTTGCCCTGAGGAGCAGAAAAGGAGAAGCGCCTGGTTAGGGAGGTCTTCCGTGGCGGCCATGAGCCGGGAGCCTCTGGGAGTTCCCAGCATCCTGTGTGATGAAGCCAGGGATATGGTGAAAGGAGATCCTGGGACAAGTCTGCCACGTGACTTGGAGAAAGCCAAAGGGAGCCCTTGCCTCTGGTACTCCACAGCAGAAAGGAGAGGAATATTGAGAACTCAGGAGTCCAGGCTCCAGCTTCACTACTTCCCAGAATCTACACCCTTCTTTCTATTCCAAACTGCAGAGAAAGAGCATGGACTTTGGGTACAGAAAAACCTGGCTTCACATTCTGGCTCCTTCTCTACCCAGTTGGATGACCTTGCATAAGCCTCTTAACCACTCCAAGCCTACCTCAAAGGGTTGCTATGAAAACTAAATTAGATCTCTCACATAAGGACATGCTTAACATTCTGTAACACATCTAACGCATAGTAGGCATTCTATAAATGCTAGTAGATATCATTATTATTATTAGCCTCACTGAGGCTTAATATATTCCACAACTTGAGCCGAGTGGACTGCAGGCTCAAGTGTGGCCAACAGACCTCACCCCATATAAAGTGACAATCCCACAGACTCATCTTTGAGTGGTCTGGACTGGGGCCCAGGTTGGTGTTTATTCTGAAGTTCCTCAGGTGAGTCCAATGTTAGGCTAGGTTGAGAACTCCTGTGATAGAGTATTTTGGGTGGGGCAGGGTTCTTTTAGATTCAGTGGTCCAAGGAGGCCCTTCTGAAGAGGACATTTGAGCTGGTAGGAGGGGGAGGAACATGTGAAGAGAAGGAACACCGAGGTCAAAGGCACTGAGGACGGAGGCAGCCCAACTTATGGCCTCATGGCTCCAACCTCTCCTCTGGGACATTGGGCCAAGGTTGCACCCCAGTCTTGGCACTCAGCCCACTGCAGGACCTGGTAGGGTGGAGCCTGGGGAGGTGTCTGCTGTGTTTGCTTCTGGGCTGCAGGCTCAGTGGCTTGGCCACCATGCCAGGCGTGGGTGATAATGGGAGCCCTCCCACTGCCAAGCCACCTGCTAGCCATCTGCTTGAGAAGTTCCTCCTCCCTCCTCTGCTGCCGCCAGTGCCTGCCATGTCATTTCCAATGGGGCCTGCGGCCTGGGGCCCAGGACGGCCACTGCTAGGGACTGCCGTCCTCCCACCTCTCAAACACTGGAGCCTCAGGCACAGGCTGTGAGCATCCAGAGGAACAGGCCGTGTCTGTCTGGTTCTCCTCATGCCCCCCACAGCTAATGGGCCCATCAGGGGTTTCTTGGAAGGGAGAAGGGTCTGGGTTTATCCTAAACCAGAGCAATAAGGGGCTCCTTTTAGAAAGTCAGCGTGTGGAATGGAAACTGCAATACTAATTCTCACCAACATTCATCGAGCACATTTTCTATTGCAGACCTCATGCTATGAGTTTTATATTTATGATTGCATATAATGCTCACAACAGCTCTGTGAGATTGGTACAATTGTTATTATCTCCATTTTTACAGATAGGGAAAGGGAGACTTGGAAAGTGAGGTAATTTGTCCGAGATTGCACAGCAGTAAGTGGAAGAGGCAGCATCTGAACCCAGACGGCCCAGGCTGGCTTTGCACTTGGAAGCTCTATGCTAATCCTCTTGTTCTGCCCCTTTCAGAACGTGGGCTCTGGAGTTAGGCAGATCTGAGTATAGCTGCTGTGAGCCTTGATGAAATTACTAGTTCTCTCTGAGCCTTGTGTTTATCATTTATAAAATGTTTTTACTCTCCTATGGAGTTAACTGGGGTCCTGGTGGCATAGTGGTTAAGAGCTAAGGCTGCTAACCAAATGGTCAGCAGTTCAAATCCACCAGCTGCTTCTTGGAAACCCTATGGGGCAATTCTATTCTGTCTATAGGGTTGCTATAAGTTGGAATCAACTCAGTGGCAACAGGTTTGGGTTTTTGGTATGGAGTTAACAGGAGTCCCTGGGTGGTGCCAATGGTTAATGGGCTGGGCTGCTAACTGAAAGGTGGGTAGTTTGCGTCCCCCCAGAGGCACTGCCGAAAAAAGCCATGGTGATCTACTTCTAAAAAGTCAGCCATTGAAAATCCCATGGAGCAGTTCTACTCTGAAACATATGGGGTCGCCATGCGTTGGAGTTGACTTGATGGCAACTGGTTATGAAGTTAACTAATGATCAACGGCACTGAGGAAGAAAGGCCTGATGATCTGCTTCTGTAAAGATTACAGCCAAGAAAACCCTATGGAGTAGTTCTACTTGGTAACATATAGGGTTGTCATGAGTCGAGGGCCGATTAGACGGTAGCTAACAACGATTAGAAATCACATATATGTAAGGTACCTCACACAAAACCACATCTCCATAAACAATAGCTACTCTGATGATGATGATAATGATGGTGTTTACGGACGAGCACTGGTGGCGTAGTTTGTTAAGAGCTACGGCTGCTAACCGAAAGGTTGGCTGTTTGAATCCACCAGCTGCTCCTTGGAAACCCATGGGGCAGTTCTACTCTGTCTTATAGGGTCACTATGAGTCGGAATGGACTCGATGGAAATTTTTTTATTTTTTAAATAGTGGCCAAGGGTTTGAGGCAGGGTAGAGTCTGGGTGATTAAAATACTTTTCTTCTGGTCTTTGGTTGGTACCAAAAAGCTCAGGAGTGTGGAGTGATGGACAAATGGCCCACGAAGGGCAGGACAAAGGAGAGCCTTGAGAAGCTCAAGGCAGGGTGTCCCTAGCCCCTGTCTTTGGCCAGCCTCTCTGTTCTGAGGAGTCTCAAGTACCAGGGACTCCCAGCCGAATGCTCCCCTGGGAGTGACAGGGGTGGTGATGGTGGTGGAGGTAGGACTGTCTCCGTCAGCGCCTTAATGCCAAGCACAGAAATCCTGGAGGCAGAGCCTAGCACTTGATGATGGGGTAATTGGGCCTGGGGGTGGGGATATCTATCACTTTCATCTTTTTGAGAAATAGCCACCATTGTCAATGGCTGGCACATTAGCTCAATTCAACTTCTTCAGCCTCATTTTGCTCCTTGGCTGTCCTCCCCCTCGCCCTCTCTCCAGTGTGTGTGTGAAGGACATGGCTGGGCTTCTGGCTCTAAGGGAATTGGGAACAGCTATTCGCTCAGGAGTAAGGAGCCCTGGTGGCACAGCGGTTAAGAGCTAGGCTACTAACCAAAAGTTTGGCAGTTGGAACCCACCAGTAGCTCGATGGGAGAAAGATGTGACAGTCTGCTTCCATAAAGATTACAGCCTTGGAAACACCATGGGGCAGCTCTACTCTGTCATATAGGGTCACTGTGAGTTGGAATTGACTCAACAGCAACGGGCTGCCCTCTCTGGAACCTCTTTTTGAAATGGGGGCATGTGGGCTTCCCTAAGACCTTGCTACTCATTTGGAAATCCCTGGAAGTTTATTAAAAATGCAGAGACTGCTTAATGGTCTTTTGGGGTTTCCTTTTGGGGTGATGAAAATGTTTTGGAACTAGATAGAGGTGGTGGTTGCACAACACGGTGAATGCAGTAAATGTGACTGAGCTGTATACTTTAAAAGGGTTAATTTTTTTTATTGTGGTAAAAAAATCATAACAAAACATTTGCCATTTCAGCCTTTTTTTTTAACGTGTATAATTCAGTGACATTAATTACCTCACCAAAAATGGTTAATTTTTGTTATGTGAATTTCACCTCAATTTCAAAAAAGGGTTCAGGGGAGAAGAATCTTTTTGGGACTGACGGCTGTGTTAATTATATTGATTGTGAAGATGGTTTCACGGGGCTATCCACATGCCAATACATATGAGAACGTACACTTTAAATATGTGCAGTTTATGGTATGGCAATTTGATCTCTATAAAGCTGTTAAAAAATTAAGAGTACAGGCACTGTGGGTTCAGGCAGCTGGGGGTTCAGACCCCTGCAGTTGTCTGACTGTGTGGCTTTGGGCAAATGATTCCCACTCTCTGGGCCTGTCTCCTCATTGTAACATGGGGATGGTAATAGCTGCTTTCTTAAAGATGGTGATTCGGGGATAAAATGAGGCCCTTTATGTAAAGCATTTTGCACAATACCTGGGTCATAGCAAGTGCCCAGTAAATACTATCTCTGTTAAACACACACACACACACACACACACACACTGCATTTCAGGCCTGGTCTCAGTGCTATTGAGTCAGAGCCTGCATTTTAACAAGACTCCAGGAGATTACTGTACACTTGAAAGTTTGAGAAGCACTGTTCTGAGACACTCAACACGTGTGTGTGAAGCTAAATGGGTGAAAAAAAAATCAGCCAACATATATGCTTTATCTCTTGCTATAGACTGAATTGTGTCCTCCCAAAATATGTGTTGAATTCCTGGCCCGTGTACCTGTGGATGTGATCCTGTTTGGAAATAGGGTTTTTCCTTTGCTATGCTAATGAGGCCACACCAGGGTAGAAGGTGTCTGAACCTAATCACTTTTGAGTTATAAAAAAAAAACAGAATAGACACCGAGACACACATAGGGGAAGACAGATGCCATGTAAAGATCATTTGCAGACCAAGGAACACCAAGGAGTGCCCAGGGCTACTGACAAGGAAGGAATTCCCAGGGCAGAGACCCTGATTTGGCCTTCAAAACTGTGAGAAGAGAAATTGTTGTTCTTTAAAGTCACCCCCTTGTGGTATGTGTATTATATTATGGCAGTACTAGGTAACTAAGATCTCTCTCCAAATCTTAGCAGCAAAATAGTTACCCTTTGTGAAGTGTCTACTGAATCCTGGCATTGAGGTAGGCAGATTAAGAATATGACTCCCTTTAGTTCTTATAATAGTTCTGTAGGTGAGTGTGATTATTGCCATTTACAGGTAGGGAGAGCGAAGCTTGGAGAGAAGCAGTGACTGGTGGAGTGGTTAAGAGAATAGACTTTCTTGCAAGAGATATCTTAGGTTATGGCTGTAGCTCATGCACTTCCTATTTATGGAAGCGTGGATATGT